TACGCGTGTGCGTGTGTGCACATGGCTATTGCTAGGTGTGCTACACTCACCTGGTGGACGTGTGCTGGGGTACTGCGGTGGGAAGTGGAATGTAAAGGTGAACTCCATCGCATTGGGCTCAGTGGTGCGTCTCAACGTAAAGCGGATGGGCTGTGTGTGCGGCAGTTGTGAGGAGTCGCCTTTCTCTACCATTGCCTGCAATTGCGCTATGTGTTCATCTGACGTGTCTACAGTCACAGCCCCTTCATACAGCGATTGAATGGCTGTGAGCTCGTCCAGTTGCCTCTCGAGGTCGTCCATGTTGGCACTTGGATGTCCTGGTGCACTGGTGTCCTGGTACACTAGTGTCCTGTTGAACAAGCGAAGTAGTTGGTGCTTAGCCATCAGTGTCCTATCAATCCTCGATACACAGTACATGTACGGTCACTTAAGTACTGATAATGCTTAAACTGATAATATGAAGCACATGAACAGTCACTTAAGTACTGATGATTTACAGAACATGAAAAGTCACTTAAGTACTGTTCATATGAAGTACATGAATAGTGAAATAAGTACTGATGATGTACAGTATATAAACAGTCACATAAGTACTGATGAAATACAGAGTACATGAACAATCACTTAAGTACTGATAATATGAAGTACATGAACAGTCATTTAAGTACTGTTGATATGCAGTCCATGAACAATCACGTAAGTACTGATGATATACAGTACATGGACAGTCACTTAAGTACTGATAATAGGAAGTACATAAATAATCACTTAAGTACTGATGATCTACAATACAGAAACAGTCACTTATGTACTGATGATATACAGAGTACATGAACAATCACTTAAGTACTGATAATATGAAATACATGAACAGTCACTTTAGTACTGTTGATATGCAGTCCATGAACAGTCACGTAAGCACTGATGGTATACAGTACATGAACAGTCACTTAGTACTGATGATATGAAGTACATGAACAGCCACATAAGTACTGATGATATACAGTACATGAACTGTGAGTTAAGTACTGATGATATGAAGTACATAAACAGTCACATAAGTACTGATAATATGAAGTAC